TTATTTAGTTCTCGAGTTCTCGGGAAACTATAAGTTCTCAAATGATCCTTCCTCTCTTTATATATATATATATATATATATATATATATATATATATATATATATATATATATATATATATATATATATATATATATATATATATGACCATTTAATTTGTATTTTTTTCCACATTGAGTTCTTATAATCGGCTATTTCAAGTTAAGCTAGAAAATGACTTAATAAGTTAATATATTTTTTAAATTGTACACATTTTACACATTTAGTTCTTATGCATGGGAGGATCCAAGGGGATCCCTGGGTAGCCCGGGATGCCCCTTAATTTTTTTTGGGTAGTGCAATTTTTTAAAGAAAAATTTGTTTTATGTAGTGTATATATATGCATCCCTTCACTTATAAACACAAACAAATAACTGGTTTGTTGGTTATGGCGGTGACTTATTGAAGCAAAGGTCTTAGGATTGATTCTTGATCCTTACATATCCTTTGTTTCATTTTCCTAGGTATTCTATCATAGATCGCCAAACACATGTAAACTCAGCCATTTTCGTTTATGATATAAATTTATTATCCTCATGCTTTATTTGATATCTACTTTGAGTCCTATATTGATTCAAGTATCAAAATATACTTCAACTTCATGTTTATATAACAATACTTGAGGTTCGCTAAGGATTCAATTAAGGTTTGGGTTAAAACCGAAACCGAATCCGGGAAACCCAAGTACCTCGAAAAAAATTGGGCTACCCTTATAAAATATTAGGATACCCCTTTACTTTGATCTTGGCTCTACCACTGTTCTTATGTTTGGTTTCTTCAGATCTTCCTAACATCATTCTACGTGGGACAATCATTAATGAAGTGTTATCATACACGGCTCTTCATTCACTGATATCAGTAACCTAATTCACGAATTGATCAAAAAATGTTAGTGCCCTAGTTTTCTCAAAGCATAAGATGTCTTCGGATTCGATTTCGTCTATCTCTATACCATTTAACAAGATTATTTATCTTAGAAGTTCAAATTCGAGATGGAGGAAGTAATCACAAAGAATATCGTTGTTTATTAAGGAGATAGCTGAAAGTTTTTGTCAAAGTGTTCTTTTGCCTTTGAAGTGCAAATACTTTTATCGTATTCCTTAGTTATTTTGTCTTGGAAGTGCAAATTTGAGTTAGGAAGAAGCAATCACAATGAACCTTGTGATCTTCTATGGAGATAGATGAAACTAAAATCGAAAACATCTTCTGCTTGGAGAAAACTATGGCACCAAAATTATTTGACCGATTCATGAATTAGGTTACTGATATAAGTGAAGGGCGAGCCACGTAAGGGAACATCTCATTAATGATTGGCTCACATAGGATGCCATGAGCAAAATCTAAAGAAATCGGTCATAAGTGATAATGTGTATAAAAACATTAATGACGAAATATGTAAAAACTGAAAAATATATTATCCTATTAAGTTATTTTTCCGGCTTGACCTTGAGTAGCTTGTTATAAGGACTCAATGTAGACAAAAAAAACTAGTTAAGTGGTCAAATCTTGAAAAAAAAACCCTCAATGACTAAATGTGTACAAATCAAAAAATATATTACATTTCCAATTCATTATTCCAAATTTTGATGACTAAATCTATAATGAAACCTTCAAATAAGAATCATTTTTGCAAGTTGAAATATTTTTGGAACAAATCCAAACAAAACTACTGTTCGTTTGGATGGATCGGTTTAATCTGATCCAATAAAATGAATCCAAATTGAATTTAGTTTTCAAAATATGGATATGAATAGTGCAAACTAAACTCAAATTGGTTCTAAACCAACCAAATCACAATTTGTTTAGATTGGTTTTACAATTCGGTTTTTTAAGAGGCATACATTTAGAATATATATAATTTAAATATTAGTCAATTGTAAACACAACTAAGCTATTTAGTTATGAATTAAAAATTTTGAAATTTAATATTTTATAGATAAAAAACAATATAAAAATACACATTAAGTTTTTTTTTTTTTCTTTTTTTGAGGAATATTTTCTAGTCAATTTAAAAGTAAAATTTAGTAAATTAGTAAATAATTAAAAGATGGGTAATTAAAAATAATGCAAATAAATAAATAATAATTTATATTCTCTTTTTTTGACTAGTTTTTATTTTATAAACGAAAACCAATCCGAAATCAAAAATTAATTTGCTTTTGATAAAAAAACTTATCCAAAAATCAAAATATCTGAACCAACTATTTTAATACAAATTGTCTAATTAGACAAGTGAGCTTATATAAATAATGAACAGCCTAGTATAATATACAAAATATAAATTAATATAATAATTGAATGCGGCAAAAATCGTAAAATTAATCATTGTGCGATGTCATCTTCGAGTTTGATGGTCATTGTATTCTTTAATGAAAAATTATAACATCTGTAACCTTTACTGAATATCATTAATTATGTTTTCTAATAAATATCTTACATTAAAATTTGAAGAGGAAATCATAGAGTTATATGAACGTACATTGTTTATGTGGTAGTGTAACACTCGTTTTCCAATTATTTTCATTTATGGATCAAAGTTTAAAATGTTGACATTTTGGTCCTTACGCAGGGCGTAACTCATTAAAAAGGATGCATGGACTTATAGTAGTATGTAGGGCGTACCTTAGATACGCAGCGCATGTTGCCGCAGTGCACAACCCAAATATTTAGGGTTTGATCCATATATAAAGGATTTAACTCCTTTGAGACCTTCCTCCCATCAACCTCCATTGCCTAGAAAAGTTCCTTTCAAACTCTAATTCTTTGGTGTGTGTGTTTTTGAGCTTGAAAGTGTTTTTTTGTGCTTGTGAAAGAGGAAGAAGGTGGTAGATCAGCTTGGAAGTTCAAGGAAACTTAGATCCAGAAGTATCTAACTGTTAAGCATCCCTAAAAGGTATAAATCTTGGAAATTTATGTTTTTTTTCTAAGATCTTGCTAGTTCTAGGGTTTGTGTACATTTTTGGTCCTATAGTCTTGGTCTAGTAGAGTATGAGCTACTTTAGGCCCTTGAGGTGTAGCTTTTTGTAGTATTGAGCGTATGGAGTAAAAAAATGAGAGCTTAGTCACTCTCATTAAGCCATGCACGAGTTTTAGAGTCTTGGATGACTTTTGGACCTAGGGTTTGAATTTATACCCTTTTATATGCATGAAAATGGATAAAGTCAAAGACTTTATCCATTAATACGTCCCTTTTTGTCTAGATCTGAAGTTTGATAAGTTGACTTTCTACATTTACGACTTAATAAAAGGATTTGATTTCAACGTGAGTACACAGAGCGCACATGTGGGTACGCAACGCGTACCTCCTGTTTGTCACGTAAAAGTCAAGCAACCCTCTATGTATGGCGTAGAGAGGTAGAATGTAGAGCGTACTCAGTCTATATGGGGAAATTGGCAAAGTATGACTTTAGGTAATATAGGGATTTAAGGTTTGGTACCTGTAGAGCCATTGTCAGAACAATGATCTGTTCAGCTACCTTCTTGAGATGGAGGTGAGTTCTTCCTCATGTTACTCAGGGTCAAAGGCACCAATTTCGGCCCCTGGATTATGCATGTATCCGATATCTAGGATATGTTATCTGGTAGTATTTGGACAGTTAGTAAGTCTGCATGATTATCTATTTTGGTTGGCTATTATCTGTTATTTGCTTATATGCATATGTCGACATATTCTTAAAGTCAGGTTTGAGGCGGTTTTGCTTTGTGCTAAAGGACAAGGTACCGGGAGCATTCTAGACATGGGATGAGGACCTTCTAGGGGTATTCCAGACTCATGCTAAGGTCTTTGGAGCACTCCATACATGGGCTGAGGGTCGGGAAGGGCATTCCAGACTCATGTGGTGGGCTCTAGGGCAATACAGACTTATGTTGAGGGCCTTGTATTGGTAATCCAGACATAAGTTGTTGGCCCAGTATACATGTTTGTTTGTGTTTTGTGTGTGGTATTTTGCGGAAACTTACTAAGCTGTGGCTTACAGTTTAAGTTTTATGTTTCAGGTACTTCAGATGATCGGGGTAAGGCGAAGGCATGGTCATACACATCCTTTAGTGATATGTTTTGGAGATTTTATGATACTTTTGTTTTGGGATAATTTTATCTGATACTTTAAACCAATACCCCATGATCTATTAGATCAAGGTAGGAGCAATTTTAGGCACGCATTTTTCCCTGCTATATTCAATTTTAGGGTTTACGGATTGAGAATGCAGTTGACGAGCAGACCATAGATATCAAAGAAAATTTTGTGAGAGCATCGAAAAGCAAACCGTTGTGACAAAAGGAGAGTGCAGTTCAATCGTATTGTGACTACATTTCACAGGTAATTCTTCTACTCATCATTTCCCCCCATTCATGATCAAAACCCAAGATACAAGCACAAATTAGTGTGATAGTATCAAACTTTGTCAAGTTTTGTTCTTTCTTGGTTTCTATAATATAACAAATTGTAACTCCTCACTTTCATGTTAGGGCTTTAGTATTTTGTTATAGGAAATATAACTGATAATTAGTATTCCGGTTCGACCCAGAAAACTTCAAAGATGGATTAGAATGTGTTGTTTATTTATCAGAGCTTGATGAAGGAGAAAAAGCTCGAATTCTACCAAAATGTAGCCATGGATTTCATGTTGAATGCATTGATATGTGGTTTCATTCACATTCGATTTCCGATTTGCAGAAACCCTGTTTCCGATCAGATTAAAATTTCAGTCAAGCGTTTGCTAGAAATTTGTCAAACACAACAATAATCAATAGAAAATGGGTATTCACAAACTTTCCCAACCAATATATTGTTTTGGGGAGATTAAACTGAAGTTAGCACGTTGACCTCTCAATTTAAAGAAGCCGACAATCATCATTAAACACCTATATCAACTTCTGTACCATCTTCTTCTTCACTATAATACACATTAACAATAACTTCCTTAATATGTATATCCGAAATTATGTTACTTGGTTTTGTAGGCATACATTGGATTAACCACAAAGAAAAAAATAAAGTGTGGCACTGATAAGGGAAACCCGAAAAACAAAGTGGATTTGGAAATTGAATTTGATGAGCTAGGCCAAAATATCGAAGCGACCCAATCTCAGTTTAGCAATTATTGTGGAGTCATGGTAAGGACGAGGATTTCTATCCTCATATTATGATGGGATGAAGTTCCTAAGGCTAAAATCGATGAATTGTGGCTAAACATTAAGGTATTCGTGTGAGCCTATTAATAGTACTTTCATTTAATTCATACATTCATATATATATATATATATATATATATATATATATATATATATATATATATATATATATATGTTAGTATTATTTATTGTACTTTATTGTAAAAAAATAGAAACATTAGAATATAGAAGATCATCGGCACAAAAAATAGGTACTAAAAATTTGCAATCAATCATGGAAGGCTTACAAGAGCAGGCTTGTTACTGACTGCCTAAAGAAGGGTAGAAATTCGGTACCTAAATATCCATACCTAGAAGAGCCTACATGGAACGCTTTTGTTCAACTCAAAACATCACCGAGCTTCTAGGTTTGGCTCACTTTACCCCTCTTTATATGATAATAGTGTTGGATTAATGTCTAAGTCGATAACTATAATTGGTAAGACTTGACCTGATCCGACATGGTCCATTTGGGTTGCATGGCATCATGCATTTGGATAGACTACAATGAGAGAAATAAGACACTTATGGTTATTAATATATTATAAGTTCTGGTATATTAATAATAAGAATAATAAGATTATTTAATTAGTATTGATCAAGAATTAATCTAGGATTAATTAAGTGATCAAAAGAAGACTAATTAAAATATGGGTTGATTGTGCAAATCACCCATACTTATATAGTGGGCTAATGCTCCATGGATTATCTAGTTGGGATAAAACCCATATGATGCTCCATGGTGTATTTTTACCCATGGATCATGGAAATGAAAGGTCATGTCAATTAGGGGTTTACATGGTCTAACCCTAACTATATATGCATCTTATTCTTGACCAAAATCGGGACTAGTGTATGAAAAAGGAAGGGCTAGCCGATTTCATGTAGTGTAGAATTCTCTCAAGTTATTCCAAGTGTATTTGGTGTTGTGTGAACCATTTGAGGTGTCACACTTGAGGCACTAGGAACTCAAGCTTCATGAAGATGTTCTACATCAAATAGGTATGTATTCTATCTTGATATATTGATTGTTTTGTATGCTAGATTAGGATAATACCTTGGATGTTCATATTTGCATGTATAATAGAGAAAACATAGATTCAAGGTATTTAGGGTTGCATCTACACTTAGGAGTGTTAGAATGCTCAAAACCTAACAGTGGTATCAGAGTCAGGTTTGTTTTCTTGTTATACTTGCAAAAGTGCTTAAAAAATCGAAGGTGTTTTCTGTCTGATCATCAGACTCGACGAGTCCATCAGGAGACTCAGCGAGTCCATGCCTAAAAATTGATCAAATCGATCCAACTCGCCGAGTTGGTTCATGCACTTGACGAGTTGGAACCCCTGACAACATAACTTCGACCTTTTTTGGCTGGAATTAGACTAGGAACGTAACATTACCCTAAGATGTTTTTGGACTTATAAACTTGTTTTTGATGTGGTAATGTTCATGCAAATCCAATTTCAAAGATAATTGTTAATAGATTCATGTTTTGTATTAGTTTAAAGTTTAGACTAATTACATGAAAAAGTTTGATTTGAATTATCTTGTTCTTATGAGTTGCTTAGATTAATAGAAAAGTTAATTGATTATGTGTTTTCAATCCATTTTAATCTAAGAGTTGATTCTAAAATGTGTTTTTGTAACTTATCCTCAAGTTATATGAAAAGTCACATTTAAGAATCATAAAACTCATAAAAGTTGGCAATGGTTACAAAAGAAATGAAGAGTCTTGTCCACAAGTTATGGAGGTTCAAGAGTCACTTCATTAAGTAATAAAATATGTAACCTTAATTAATTCCATAAGCAAAATAAAGAAAAAAGTTACATTCTTTAATAATTTAAAGTCTTCCATAACTTGTCCTCAAGTTGTGGAATTTGAAAAAGTTTTCTCTTATAAATACTTTAATTCCAAGTTAAGCCCTTAGAATTTTAAAGAGTTAAAATTCAACCCTTATACTTTATAATATTATAAGGTAATAATATTTATATATATGTATAAGAATAAAGTCAGTCTTACCGTTAGTAGGCCTCATTCACGAAGCTAGTCTATAAGGGGGGTATAAGGTTACTGCCTATAAAATGGCAGTTTAATGGGTGTCCACTCTCACCCACCGCTTCCTTGATCGGTGGACGGTCGTTAGCCGAACGGGTTTGATAGGACTAGAATTGTCCCTTCACTAAAATTATTAATGATAAATACTAAGTAACTAAACTCTTAATAAATACCCAATCTTAGTTACTTAGAAAAATGTGAATAAGGTGCTAATCCATGAAATTACACTTTGCACTTTGTTTAAGTCGGTTAGTGGAGCGTGTGTGGTTAACCGGCACACTAACTCGTACTTAACAAGGTAGGCAAAGGGTAACTTAATGTTTATCATAGTATCCGTGGAGCGTGTGTGGTTAACCGGCACATCGATTGAGGGGTAAAAACTTAAGGGTACCAAGTAATTTGCATCGTTACTTCACACCTTGTTTTGTGATCCTCGACATCCCAGTCACAAAACCTGAAGGGTACACTCGAGATTAAAACATGCCATTGAACAGTTCAATGAATCTCAAAGATCTAGGAGTTTCAAATCCAATTAAAACCTAATAATACATTTCGTTTATCTTGGTGGAAATTGGTGAATCGTCATTCACCTACCTTCAAATATTTTATAGCTTGGATTACGACATCCCTCTTCTAAGTTATAAAATAGTTTGTTGGGTCCTAGCCTTAATATTTCATATTGGGTGTCATATTAAGGACTTTAGATCAACTATCTTGAATATCTCCCAAAAGATGTCTGGTTTAGACATCTATGATCTTCTCAAATCTCTTGAAACAAGCTTTCCTAAATGAAAATGATGTCCTTTGGAAATCATACTTCTTTCACCTCCTCTAATTATTTTCCCTAACCCATAAGTTCTTGACAAGTTCGAGGTCACTCAAGCCCTATTGGAAAGGCAAGGTCTAGGTGTGATCACATCTTGGAGATGTAGTCACATATTGACAAGCTGGGAGAGTTGGGTGTCAAAGTCTTGAGAAAGTTGGTGGTTCAATCACTTTCTAAGTCACATAGTGAGTTCCTTTGGGACTCCTATGAAACAGACTAAGACAAGACCCTTAGTGATCTTATCAATTTGCTAAGATCAACTTCCTAAAACTTTATGGACATTGACAATGATGACATTGGATATCCAGTAAAGCTCTCTCTTCCCAATGGAAAGGGATCGGCCATAGTCAACTCGGTTGACCAAATGGTAAAGAGAAAAACTAAGTCTGTGATACTCCCATGTACCATTATCAAAGGGTCCATATGTTTATATTGCCAAAGGAAGGGTCATTAGTTGCGAAGCTGCCAAATTTACCTAAGGATGTTAAAGTCAATAAGTTTGACCCTACTTCAGGTAAAGTCCACTATCTAACTCTGCTAAGTTTCTATTCTGAGATTCTTGATACATGATGTGACTGGGTCACATGGTGATGTTTTCAGAATCAAAGAAAAGTGAAGAAACTTAAAGAAAGAATATGTTGAATCAGATCGCATAGATGGATTTCTATCGCATAGTTTGAAGATCGGATTCTTGAGCTACTTCTTAGGAGTTATGAGATATTGCTTAGGAATAGATAACAACAAGTTTTCATATGGATTGTAAGGATAAGTTTTTCCGCAAAGTTTTAAAATAAAAGAAATTTTTTTGATTTTATTTATTTTAAAATATCCTTACAATGGCATTTAAGGAAAAATTGTTGCTTATAAGATTCCATTAATAGCAAGAGTGGAAATATGAAATTGATTCTTTCGTTTGTGGTATGTCTAAATTTACCAAATGAGGAAAGATTCTCATCACCCAAGTTTCAATTGGTCCGGAACTTGGAATCATGCAAGTTGTATAGCATGATGAATGAGAAATTTCAAGTATTGGAAAAATTAAGACTAATTACTTGTTCACATGGATGTGTGAGTCAAGTAATGGACTAAGGGATCGAGTACACATTCTTGTGCACTGATTAAGTCCACCACAAAAGATTGATAAGACTATTCGTCATAGTTTACTAAAGCTCAGTAAATATGGTTATATTTACATGCTTAAATGTAATTCTGAGACATTGGAAAAGGTTCGAATGTATGGCAGAGCAAATAAGAAGAATCAACTTAGGCAGAAAGATAAAAGTTTCTCAAATGTGAAAAGATGGGAGAGTAGTTTAGTATCAGTTTTTATGATCATATTAATGACTTAAAGACCTTATCACAATTCATCCTCTAAGTGCCTTCTTATAGCTAAGAAGAGGAGCTATGATTTGTTGAAGTGGTTAAATCAAGAAGATGATTCATACTTCGTTCCAAAAACAATTCTTATAGTTATACTCCAAGATTGTAACTTGAGTGACATTACTTAAAGAAGGTTTAAAACACTTGTCAAATGTAAGAGTAAAAGTTTTCTACAGTTGTACATTTGAAATTGGTAAAGTGTGATGTTTTGGATAAAACAAAGACCAACTTAGGCCAATTTTGTGAAGTGTTTGTCTTGAATAGAATCCACACTATCTCTTGAATATCTGACAAGAAAGTCTTATATGTCAAGAGGACAGTGGGAGTCTTAAAGGTCTTGAAAGTCTCAAGAACTAATCAAGAATAGAACCTGAAGTTCTTCACTAGCACACGAATTGAGGTTTATAATCTATCGTGTTGACATATTCTATGCCCATTCCAGTTAAAGTTGGCTTTGCATATGAGTTCTTAGAGTTCTCAATTGGTTGTAGAACAACTTGGAAGCAATGGTAGGCCCTTGAGCTTCCAGATGGCAATAAATTAAGATTAAGTTCAGTCCATATGAGTTTGGATTTGTCATTATCCTTGTCTTTGTGACTATGGTTTTGACAATTCACATGGATAAGAACTCATACACCATTAAATCTAAGTGTCATAAGGTTTCTCTCCGATTCATGAAAATGATAGTGAGGAAACACTTTCACTAAGTAGATTTTAGGTAGATAGCAATTGTGATATTTGCATTCTCAAAGTCGTTAGTGGAGCGTGTGTGGTTAACCGACACACTAACGTGGACTTGTGAGAAGTGGCAAAGGTCTAAACAATCGAGACTATGATTACGGCATCCGTTTTCATAGTTCTTAAAATTGTTTAGACACACCTGTGAGCTATCTAAGATAAGGTGTATGATATTGATAAAGTTTTATCAAAGCAATCTAGTATCAGAAATTTGAACTTTAGTAAGAAAGTCAATAAAGAATTGATTTCTAGAAGTCCAGCTAATTTCTGAGTATATGTCAAAGCTAGTGGGAGCATAAGTGTTATGCTAATAATCATCATGTTAGTGGGAGCATGATAATTATGATAAGTATTGCAAGTCAGTAATGTTAATTATAGAAAACAAAAGGTTTCAATTGAGAAAGAGTTTTTTGCTATAATTAAGGGAGAGGAAATTATACTTCATCTCAAATCTAAAAGCTTAGATTGAGGTTTTAATCGTATTTAGTCAAGGATATATATATATATATATATATATATATATATATATATATATATATATATATATATATGAATTTCATGTTGGAATGGCTCAACATAAGGAAATTCTGTATATGGGTCCATTATTTGTGTTCTAAAATTCAATTATGATTACGGTATCCCTTTTCATAATCTGAATTATGAGAACTTGGCAAATAGAAATGGAAATGTTATAGCAAAAGACTAGTTTAGTCTTTATGTGAGACGTCATGAACCGTGTCCCATATGCTTTAGATATAGGATCGATTACATTTGCTATATTCATCCTTTCTAAAATATTCCAAATGTCTGGGGCATTAAGAAGGGAAAAGGTCTAAAATTGGATATGACTAAAAGGATTAAGCAATTGTCGAGGACAATCTATGGTTTACCAAAGATTGGTTGCTTAAGGACAGTTGGAAGTATAATGATAATTCTGGAAGGACCATATTGACATAATCTGTAAGGAGGCAACTCTTGTTTAGAAGTGATAGTCAAAATGGAATATGGAAATGTTTCAAAGTTAGAAATTATTCAATCTGTGTAAGATTAGGAAACTTAATGCAAGAAGGATGTTTCCAAGGAGTTGATCTCCTTTGGAATGCTCTGTAATGTTTATTGTCAAGTCTTTCTAAGTCCATAACTATAATTGGTAAGACTTGACCCGACCCGACATGGTCCATTTGGGTTGCATGGCATCATGCATTTGGATAGACTATAATGAGAGAAATAAGACACTTATGGTTATTAATATATTATAAGTTCTAGTATATTAATAATAAGAATAATAAGATTATTTAATTAGTATTGATCAAGAATTAATCTAGAATTAATTAAGTGATCAAAATATATGGGTTGATTATGCAAATCATCCATACTTATATAGTGGGCTAATGCTCCATGGACTATCTAGTTGGGCTAAAACCCAAATGATGCTCCATGGTGTTTTTGTACCCATGGATCATGGAAATGAAAGGCCATGTCAATTAGGGTTTACATGGTGTAACCCTAACTATATATGCATCTTATTCTTGACCAAAAACGGGACTAGTGTGTGAAAAAGGAAGGGCTAGCCGATTTCATGTAGTGTAGAATTCTCTCAAGTTATTCCAAGTGTATTTGGTGTTGTGTGAACCATTTGAGCTGTCACACTTGAGGCACTAGGCACTCAAGCTTCATGAAGACGTTCTACATCAAAGAGGTATGTATTCTATCTTGTTATATTCATTGTTTTGTATGCTAGATTAGGATAATACCTTGGATGTTCATATTTGCATGTATAATAGAGAAAACATAGATCCAAGGTATTTAGGGTTGCATGTACACTTAGGAGTGTTAGAATGCTCAAAACCCAACAAATAGTATATTGCAATGTTTCAAATTTTGCTACTTACTTCTTTCATGGAAATAAGCAGTAAAGCTACGGAGACTGCAAAGTTGAACAAGTATCCGCCTCGGATAGGCCCACGTGGGTATTATGGTTTGAAACCTCAATGGGAAATAGAGATGGATTCTGGTAAGTCAATAGAGTTACATAATATAAGAAGTGAACGTGCATGGAATTTTATCCTTGCTAGGTTAAAACGTGATCCCACAGGGACATACTCGTTATCTACTGATCTCTACTCATTGGCGTCTGAATTGGTAAGTTAACTATTCATTTTGTAATGTTATCATTTATTTTAAAACTATTTAGGAATTAATTACCCTTCAATTTTATTTGGACTAACAGATCGAAAAAGATACCCAATTATCTCACGCAGATTGGTTTCCTGGACCTGGATCCGATGTGCTTACAAAGGTGCTAGGTCCCGGCCATCCAGGCTGTACGAGGGCTGTTAGGCACAATGTTGGCTTGAGACAATCCATGCCTAGGGTTGATAAGAACAAAAAGGAAGAGGCATGATAAATATAACTTGGAAGATATTAAGGAGAAGATGAAGATCAAGGTTGAGGCTATGATGGAGGCCAAAATGGAAGCGAAGATAGAACAGATGAATACTCAGATGGAATAGATGAAAACATATATGCAACAATTTCTCTCAAAGAATAAAGGCATACACATTACAAACCCGGTGTTGAAAAGAAATGGTGTCATCTCGACTGTACCAGATGAGTTAGATGGGATAAAGGTAATCATGTGTTTTTTTACTTATATACATGATATTTGATCATTTATTAACATATACATTATGTGTTTGCAGACTCCTACTGCTTGCAAGCTAGTGATACCATACGACGCGATGAACTAGAAATATGCAAAAGGGATGGTCTTTCCATATGGGAATGGGAAAATACATTCAGTTCCTTTAAATGCAAATCATTTAAGGGTATCCATAGACAAGATCTATGACCAACATGATTGTATCCTTCTTCCTGTCTCGACTGAAAAAGCGAGTAAGTTGTATGAGGCGCTTCATGGTATAGTTCAGTGGCTAAGGAATGCAATTAAGATCAGTCAGGTACATCGTATTATCATTAAATTTTTTTAGTGTTAGAGTAATAAATATTTGTGCACACATCTAACTTGTTAACAGTCCTCACAGTTCAAGCCAAATGTTGAACAAGATAAAAGATGTTCCTTTCTACCGGTAGCTGTCGACCTGGTAATTTCTCCAACCTTATTATTTATAGTGTGTATATGTTAAATTGTACCAATATGTGATAATCAAACAATTTATAATGGTCGTACAAATACAAAGCAACCTCAGATAACCAAGAGTATGCTAGTAATCTCGAAGGGTGCTATAAAGAAGACCAAGCCAACAAATGAAAGTTTGATACCACATACTTCTAATAAGCAAGTCGAACGAGAAAAAAAATACCCCTGGTCATGAAAAGAATGTATATAAGTTTGATGAATCATGAAGCTCCTGATGATGCGATTTATGTTGAAGCCGAACCTGGGATCCTTGGAGTTTAGAAAATTGAAACATACGTTTACCCTAAGGAGATTTTATGTTTTTTGAATAAACAATGGCTTGATATTAGTGTCATAACTTGGTTTCAAATGTAAGTACAAACAACAATGTTTAAATTATTTTCATTTATAGTATTTAGATTTATAATGTACATTTTATGGGTTGTAGCATGTTACATTCAATGCTTGAAACACATGTTGGGAATCAAGTGAAAAAATGTGATTTCATTTCCCTGAGTGAGATTCAGGCAACGATATGCGAGTCAAATGGTGAGGGTGTTGTAAGTTACATTGTTGATGCAATGCGCTTCCATAAAAACAGACGATTTTTTCTCGCACCCTATTGGCAAGGGTATTGAATCTTACTACTTCCATTTTTATTGGCTTTATTTCTTTATTGTGTATACTAAAATGTATTAACATTACTAGATTGCATTAGATACTGCTAGTATTCTGCCCTAACCAAGGCACAAAGTATATCGTGGATTCCCAAAAAAATTCGGATGAGAAACCCATGGAGAACTACATAGTCATGAAATATGTCAAAGAGTAAGAAAACTTTTTTGTATTTCCGACTGTTATTTCTTTCTACGGCTTTCTTATTTTTTTTTCTAATATTCATTTTAGGATTGTTGCAAGGCTTAAGGAAGATATCGACACAACACATCCAATAAATTAGACACTTGTCGAGGTAAAAGTACTTCATGGGTACCATGAACCGGCTTGTTAATTTTTTTAATAAAAAATGATACTTGGAACACAAAACTTGTTCCATCATCAGATCAAAGCCCTAGGTTCAAAGTAAAAGTTATCTAATCCTTTATTGTTCATATTTTTAGTGCAACCAACAACCATCAGGTTGGGAGTGCGGTTTTTACGTCATGAGATGGATGTTTGAGTTCGTGTTGACTCGACAAAATGAATTCCCAAACAAAGTAAGTATCTTAAATCTTTGTGCAATTTGTCTAATATGTTAAACATTCTTTATTAAATTATAATCTATTTTTTAATTTGTATATAGAACAACTGAAATGATACAAAATTGTTTCCAGATTAATGTTAAATGAAATCATAGTTATGTGGAGTTCAAGGTTTGAGAGTAAGTATTTTAGTTAAGTGCCCATTTGTAAAGTTAGTTATTCTAACCTAATTGTTTATTATATCATTTTACTTTAACGAACTTGATTATTATAACATTGCATTTGCATTTCATTTTATACACCATTGTACCTAAAAAAAACTTATCAAGACATTGTACTTTTAAAAATGAACCTACTATAGCATCATACTTTCAAATCTTTATCTTATTAGGACATTAAACTACGAAAAATATACATTGTAAAAAGTACTTTGAATTTGGAGGATCTTGCTATTACGGGATATATGTCTCAATGTATAAGAATAGGAAGAAATGGTAGTAGGATGTCTTAATAAACAAATAAATGAAACTATGTTGTTATTTCCTGCAATTAACTCAGTTTTTTCTTCTCATTACAGTTATATGTTTTTTCCCTTAGTTGCAACTTTTAGTTTCTTTTCTTGTCTTATGTCATAGGTATGTTATTGCAATTATAGAGTTTGACATCTACCAGATGAATCTTTTTGTCTTTTTATATATTTAATTTTTCATTGATTAAGATGGACACATTGGGTTTATTGCAAATTATGTTTGAATTGGATATTGTTAATTTTAGAAATTAATGACTAATCATGCTTTTGTTTTGACTTTTATATACATTCTGATTGTTCATGAAATGTTTGTGTGTATAAATTATTTATGCACATGTTTTTTTTTATAGAAAAGTGTAATTATTGTATTTAATTTATGAAGAAACCGCACTTTACAATATTTTATAAGGAGTACGGTTACATTGAAAAAGCAATATTCTACGTGTTTCGTTAAAGAATAAGGCTACTTTTAAAAAAAACCCTAAAACCGTATTTTATAATGATTATAGAGTATTGGTTTTGCAACCGTAGCGTATTATCTAAAAAAATATACTTTAGGATTATTGTAGAGTACGGTTTTGCAACCGTATTGTATTATCTAGAAAACCATACTATATGATGATTATAGAGTACGAATTTACAACCGTATTGTATTACATGTTCGAATAGGAAACCCCCCTTATGGAATACGACTGCAAAACTGTATTCTATGTTTCATTTTAACAGTATTTTATATGTTATTTTGTATTAGTGGGTCATGATATGCAATAAAAATATAGTCGTAAGCTAATATTAAATCCATAATTTAAATAAAATATATGTATTTATAATACTTATGATTATGTTTCACTTAATTTTGTGTTTCTATATAATAGACAATACTCATAATAAAAGATTGTTTTTATGATTAATTATTACTAAATCGTCACTTATGAAATTAATTACATGTGATCATTTAGTGAATATGATCATGTTCATCGTAATTGCATGTCTGCTAAAGATATCAAATAGTCTTAATAAACTTTGAATTGGGTGACCATTTACTAGCAAAACTTTCGTATTGAAACAACATGTATGTCGTTGTTTGGTGATATACAATTACTACAATTACAAAATAAATGTATCTATTTACGGTTTAACGTTATAATATTGGATTAAATTATTGATTTTAGAAACAAAATTTTCTACCCAACTATCATACTTTTATAATACGACCATATATTTTAATATCTTACAGACACTACATATTAAATTGACAATAAGACTCATACGATGATGTCATCTTGTATCACACTTTAAATGAAAAAATAAAATATCACTATACACATATGGTCATATCTTTATGGTTTGTCTATAGATATTTTTGTAGCGGTGAAAAAAAACTAGAACACTCAGTCCATCTGTGGGGCTTTGTTAGCTATTTAAAAATAAAAAATAAATAAATAAAGTAATTAAGATATGTATGCTAATTAACTGCTGAGGTTTGTAAATGTGCTTCCAAGATTACTTCCGGCATAAAACAATAACTACTAATACAATATGTGATATGATCAACCTTAACCCATAATATCGTATAAACAATATCGTGTGAACAAGGAAAAACTACATAATCAATAAAAGTGCATGCAATGAGTGGCAAGTTTATTATATAATTCAAAACAACTACATAATTATCTTCTATCCTACTTGAAGTATTTTATCACGACCCTATATTTGATGCTTCAGTAGGTATTTGTATTAGTTATAAATTTATACATTACACATCCATAGCATCCGAGGGTTGACTAATATATATATATATATATATATATATATATATATATATATATATATATATATATATATATATATATATATATATATATATATATATATATATAAGACTCACATGCATCAACTCACTATAGGTTTAAAATTACGTACCTCGATCAAAAATGTTGGAGCAAACTCTTTTTCTTTCGTTCTCCATATTTTATCTTCTTTTCTCTGTTTTATCTATTTCAGCCGCAAATTCAATCATCTATGTCGAATGCTCTCAACTCTACTTCACCATGGCAACATCCTATGAGTCGCATATCAATTCACTATTTACTTCCTTGTCTGAGTCATCCTCCATCTCTAACTTCAACAAATTCCAAATCTGTCCTCCGGGATACTCACAAAGCGACGTTGTTTATGGTCTCTACCAATGTCGAGGTGACGTTAGCTCCACCACTTGCAGAGATTGCGTCGCAAACTCTCTTAGTCAACTCAAGACATCTTGTCCTATGTCAGTAGGAGGACAAATACAGTCGGAAGGATGTTTTGTGAAATACAATAATACATCATTTTTTGGGGTTGAGGACAAGATGGAGATGTCAAAGAGCTGTGGCCCTTCGGTTGTTTATAATATGCAAGCTTTGAATCGTATAGATGATGCATTGGCATATTTAACTGCTGGGAATGGACAATACTTTCGTAAGGGTGCTTTTGAGAACGTGCAGGGTGTAGCACAATGCGTACAAGATTTGACTGTGAGTGAATGTGAAGATTGTCTTTTGGAGGCTCGTGCGAGATTAAGATCAGAGTGTGAGACCTCGAGTTGGGGCAATATGTACTTGGGAAAATGTTTTATCCGGTATACTGATCAAGGTAAACGTTTGTTTCTATTGTATGGCTTTAGTTATTACTTTTAAGTATTGGAATATATAAAGTAAGTTTACTATGGAAAGTTTGAATCAATGCAGATAATAATAATGATGCAAATAATGATACGTATGATTATAATGATTATGACGATGATGATTCAAAGAAAAAAAAGAAAAAGAAACGCAAAACAAATCTGAAACAAGTGCGAAGGTTGACAATTACCGTAGGAGCAACGGTTGGTGGGATTACCTCGACTGCTACTTTAGGTATTACTGTTGCCGTGTTGTACAAGAAATACAGAAGAGGTAAATTGGTTCATTTTAATAAGACCATGCTTTGCTTGCCACTAATCTAAGTTAATATATAAATATGTATATTATATTTCAAATTATATATATAAATTAATTTAAAACCACCGACAATCTTTGTCTAAAAAACCTCATACTGTATATGTTAATTTGTTGCTTTTTGGTGTATTTCACGCAACATGTGTTTGTGATCAAAGTTTTTAATTAATAGAAAAATCGTAAAATTAACTACAAACAGTAGTAAACATTAATTATTATTAGTTCCTAAATATAATAATGTAAAATTTTGTAAGAACATTCGGATCAACACCTATTCATATTATTTGCATTTGATACGTTTTGTTTCATTGCGTCGAATAATGCGGTAAAATTTCTTAATAAAATATAACGGTCAACAGATCATACATAGTAATGTTATATCCCATAAATCTATAGAGGTAGTCTTCATAAGAATTGTTTACCATACAAAAATGTTTAACGGTGTAACTTGTTGCCCGGTTAACTTGTTATTTTGTTGTACAACTTTTTCAAAATAAAAAGTTATATATATATATATATATATATATATATATATATATATATATATATATATATATATATATATATATATATATCTTTACTACTTATAAAAGAAATCTAACTATTTCTATAAATAGATTGAATATAATAATATTATTTTTTTAAGACGTACAAACGAGTAAGCTAATATTACAAACAACCATTAATAAAATAATATTAAATTTTAAATTTGTTTTGATTCCTTATATTTCTCAGCAAAATCCTAATTTCATGGTCATTCAAAATTTAAAACCTTTTCATCCTAATACGCTTCAACAAATATCCTTTAAATGTTGCATTTGCAGCTGATTAAAATATCTCATAGCAGACGTGTGTTTGTTCTCTCCACCTTATAAACCCTGCTATAAATCCCACTGCCATGAAGTATTTCCCTTATAAACCCTAATCGTTTTTCTCCCTCTCTTAGACGAAGACAATGTGTTTTCTTTAAGAAAAAAAGTTTGAAAATATTCCAATTTCTCAAAAAAATTTACCCCAAATGCGAAACTGGGTAAAATTTTCCATTTTGCGAAGACTACAGGGATGCGAAATGAAAATTCTGCACTTGTCTTTTTATGACCCCATTTTGCGAAGTTGGACCACTTATATTATTTCTTGAAAAGATCAGGTGCCAAATGCGAAACTCTAAGCTTTCTTCCCCAATTCGCATTTATACATTAAAAACTTCGCATTTTCATTCAAATTCTTCGCATCTTGCATCCATCCGTCTTTGAGTTCATTCGCATTTCATCGCATTAACTGAGAAATTAATCAGTTGTCTCATATTCGCATTTCAGTTGTTTGAGAAACCCAGATACGAACCCAAATGCGAAACCCACTGATTTCAAATGCGAACCAACCAAAAATCATCAACCACGTACTTGTGTCACCAAATGCGAACTGAATATCACCATTAAATTCTCCTCGCATTCCATAGATGCGAACACAATCCAGATCTCCGACTCCAAGCTTGCGAAATCAAAATCAATTAACCTCAAACAAATCGTGAACTTCTTATGCGAACTGTTTTGACCCACAAAACCAAATGCGAACTCAATTGATGTCATATGCGAACTGATTTCATAGATGCGAACACAATTGATTTCATATGCGAATCCACATCCATCGATATGAAACCAATACCAGTTACAAGCAATTAGTAGCAACCATCGATCCTCTAATTTTCAATTACTCAGCCTTCGCTTTTCATACAACCCGTCGACCCTGAAAAATCGATAAACACCAAATGTCTCATTTTTAGATCGATTTTCTGATTAAATGTCATATTTGAAGAATGATCGATTTTCTGATTAAATGACCCCATTTTGCGAAGTTGGACCACTTATATTATTTCTTGAAAAGATCAGGTGCCAAATGCGAAACTCTAAGCTTTCTTCCCCAATTCGCATTTATACATTAAAAACTTCGCATTTTCATTCAAATTCTTCGCATCTTGCATCCATCCGTCTTTGAGTTCATTCGCATTTCATCGCATTAACTGAGAAATTAATCAGTTGTCTCATATTCGCATTTCAGTTGTTTGAGAAACCCAGATACGAAGCCAAATGCGAAACCCACTAATTTCAAATGCGAACCAACCAAAAATCATCAACCACGTACTTGTGTCACCAAATGCGAACTGAATATCACCATTAAATTCTCCTCGCATTCTATAGATGCGAACACAATCCAGATCTCCGACTCCAAGCTTGCGAAATCAAAATCAATTAACCTCAAACAAATCGTGAACTTCTTATGCGAACTGTTTTGACCCACAAAACCAAATGCGAACTCAATTGTTGTCATATGCGAACTGATTTCATAGATGCGAACACAATTGATTTCATATGCGAATCCACATCCATCGATATGAAACCAATACCAGTTACAAGCAATTAGTAGCAACCATCGATCCTCTAATG